CGATGGCAAAATCTAGCAATATGCCTCGTATCGCCACAAGTATAACAAGCCCTCGGATGCTGGGACTACTGACCCTGACGGCCTGAGTAACCACCCTGAAAACTCTGGAGCGGAAGTGCACTGATAGGAGCTGGTGATGCACTGTAAGGTAGCTGATCTGAATACTGCATATGAAAACCACGGCCACCTGGAGCACCATGAGAAGCCTGCACCGCTGAATGAAACGGCCTGGAAAAATAGCTCCTACCAAAAGAATCCCTGCCTCGAGACGAGGCACCACTGAACCTGCCAGAATGACGAGGCCTCTTGTCAGACCCCTGACCGCTCCCCTGAGCTAGAACCATCTCAACTCTCCTGGCCACATTGACCGCATCCTGAAAAGAAATCTCGCACCCTGTCTCCTTAGCCATCTGCAGTCGAATAGGCTGAGCGAGTCCCTCAATGAACCTCCTCACTCTCTCTCTCTCTCGATGAGAAGTATAATAAGAGCATGACGGGCCAAGGCAATAAATCTGGTCTCGTACTAAGTGACGGTCATAGAACCATGCTGGAGGTCGACCCCATGTACTGGTAAGTGTCGAGCCTTCATATATGAGATAACCCTGCTGGTAGAATGACCAAGAGTCCCTCTCCACTCCAAACGAGGCAACCCCCGGCAATGCTAAGGTCACGGTCTTGGCATGACAGTCCAATACAGCATGATAAGGGGATAACCAGTCCATCCCCAAAATGACATCGAAGTCTACCATATCGAGAAGTAGGAGATTTACACTGGTCTCAAGACCCCCAATAATAACCACACACGAGCGATAGACTCGATCTACAACAATAGAATCACCCACCGGTGTAGACACATATATAGGAGAACTCAAAAAGTCACGAGGCACAACCAGATAAGGGGCAAAATAAGATGACACATAGGAATATGTAGACCCCGGATCAAATAGACTGAAGCATCTCTACTGCAAACTGAAACCGTACCTGTGATAACTGCATCGGAGGCCTCGGCCTCAGGTTTGACTGGAATAGCATAACACCACCACTCTGAACTACATCACGAGGACGGCCTCCTGCTGGCTGGCCTCCACCTCTAGCTGCCTGACCTCCATCTCTAACGGCCTGACCTCCACCTCTAACACCTCGACCCCTACCTCTAGCTGGCTGAGCGGGCGGTGGAACACTTAGTGCCTGAACCATGGCACGGGAATCCTGATGCTAAGGGCTGCTTGGTGCTCGATGGCAAAATCTAGCAATATGCCTCGTATCGCCACAAGTATAACAAGCCCTCGGATGCTAGGACTACTGACCCTGACGGCCTGAGTAACCACCCTGAAAACTCTGGAGCGGAAGTGCACTGATAGGAGCTGGTTCAAACTGCCTCCGATAGTCCTCCCTCTGAGTGATAAGAAGAAACTTCTCCACAAATAATTGAGAGAACTGATCCCAAGTCAAAGTCGGTGACCCAGCTGGTCTAGCCAAACAAAAATCTCTCCACCAAGTCTTGGCGAAACCTGACAGACGAAAAGAAGCAAAGTCGACCCCATTGGTCTCCACTATCCCCATGTTCCGCAGAACCTCATGACAGATGTCCAAATAGTCCTAGGGATCCTCTGAATATGTACCGCCATAAGTAGTAGTGAAGAGCAAGGTGAACCTATCCAACCTCCACAAAGCATCAGCAGACATAGCTGCTTCATAACCGGTCTGAGCTACCACATCCAGCTGAACTACTCCAACTGGCTGAGCTGCTGGAGCTGAAACTGAGGAGCCATCTGCTCCGAAGTGCGAGTAGCGGGAGTATGTGCTCCTCCCCCAGCCTGAGAGACGGCTGGTGCTACAGGAAGTAAGCCTGCCTGGGCGACACTCTCCATAAGGCCCACTAGACGGACCAGAGCATCCTGGAGTACCAGGGTGGCGATGAACCCCTCTGGGACCTGAGCTTGCCCTGCTGGAACGGTCTGGGCTGGAGCCTCCTCCTCAAACTCTACCTGAGGCTCCGCCGCTGGTGCTACTGCTCCAGGCTGAGCCCTGCCCCTACCTCGGCCTCTACCCTTTGTAGGAGCTGCCATTGGGGGCTCGGGCTGCTGATCAGCGGATGAAGAAGTACGTGTTCTCGCCATCTACGAAAGAACAGAGTAGAAGTTCAATTAGCATTGAGAAGTCAAATCGCACGATAGAGAAGAATAGATGTGAAGTTATTCCTAAATCCTGTAGCCTCTGGGGATAAGCACAGACGTCTCCGTACCGATCCCTCAGACTCTACCTAGCTTGTTCGTGAATTGTGAGACCTAGACAACTTAGAGCTCTGATACCAACTACCTATGGCGGCACATCTTCAGAGAATCCCCAAGACTATTTGGACAGTTGTCATGAGGTTCTGTGGAACATGGGGATAGTGAAGACCAATGGGGTCGACTTTGCTGCTTTTCGTCTGTCAGGTTCCGCCAAAATTTGGTGAATGAAATTTTTGTTTGGCTAGACCAGCTGGGTCACCGTCTTTGACTTGGGATCAGTTCTCTCAGTTATTTCTGGAGAAGTTTCTTCCTATCACTCAGAGGGGAGGACTATCGGAGGCAGTTTGAGCATCTCCAGCAGGGTTCTATGACCGTCACTCAGTACGAGACCAGATTTATTGCCTTAGCCCGTCATGCACTTATTATACTTCCCACCGAGAGAGAGGGTGAGGAGGTTCATTGAGGGACTGTGAGGAGGTTCATTGAGGGACTCGCTCAGCCTATTCGACTACAAATGGCTACGGAGACAGGGAGCGAGATTTCTTTTCAGGATGCGGCCAATATGGCCAGGAGAGTTGAGATGGTTCTAGCTCAGGGGAGCGGTCAGGGGTCTGACAAGAGGCCTCGTCATTCTGGCAGGTTCAGTGGTGCCTCGTCTGGAGGCAGGGATTCTTTTGGTAGGGGCCATTCTCCCAAGCCGTTTCATTCAGCACTTCAGGCTTCTCATGGTGCTCCAGGTGGCCGTGGATCTCATATGCAGTGTTCAGATCAGCTACCTTACAGTGCATCACCAGCTCCTATCAGTGCCCCTCCGCTCCAGAGTTTTCAGGGTGGTTACTCAGGCCGTCAGGGTCAGTAGTCCCAGGAGCTGAGGGCTTGTTATACTTTTGGCGATACGAGGCATATTGCTAGATTTTGCCCTCGAGCACCGAGCAGCCCTCAGCATCAGGGAACTACCGAGTGTTCCACCGCCCGCTCAGCCAGAGATAAGGGTCAAGGTGTTAGAGGTGGAGGTCAGGCCGTTAGAGGTGGAGGTCAGGCAGCCAGAGGTGGAGGTCAAACAGCCAGAGGTGGAGGCCAGCCAGTAGGAGGTCGTCCTCGGGATGTAGTTCAGAGTGGTGGGGCCCAGCCCCAATGTTATGCTATTCCAGCCAGACCTGAGGCCGAGGCCTCCGATGCAGTTATCACAAGTACGGTTTCAGTTTGCAGTAGAGATGCTTCAGTTCTATTTGATCCGGGGTCTACATATTCCTATGTGTCATCTTATTTTGCCCCTTATCTGGTTGTGCCTCGTGACTCTTTGAGTGCTCATGTATATGTGTCTACACCGGTGGATGATTCTATTATTGTAGATCAAGTCTATCATTTGTGTGGTTATTATTGGGGGTCTTGAGACCCATGTAGATCTCCTACTTCTCAATATGGCAGACTTAGATGTCATTTTGGGGAGGGACTGGTTATTCCCTTATCATGCTGTATTGGACTGTCACGCCAAGACCGTGACCTTAGCATTGTCGAGGTTGCCTCGTTTGGTGTGGTCTTGGTCATTCTACCAGCAGAGTTATCTCATATATGAAGGCTCGACACTTACCAGTACATGGGGTCGGTTGTACTGATGCTACACTCTGCACTCTTTTGTGCAGATTTTTGTACCGGACTCGGTGAGTAGCTGAGGTAGCTGCCTTCAGTCCAGGGAGACCAAGGTAGATCTGCTGGCGTCCGCAGAGCCTAAAGTCCCTCTTCCCTGTTTTAGCTTTCTGCTATCTCTTTGCATTCCGAAAACAGTTGTACTTTTCTTTCCAGACCAGTATGTAGAAATTCGTAGATGTTCGTGAATTTGTGACACCAAATTCGTGGGTAGACATGTATTGGATTATTTGAATTTGTTATAACTCTTCCGCATTTTTCATCTGTTTAACTATAGTTATTGTTTATATCTGTTTGGGTTGATTGCTAATGGGTTAAAACCTTAATAGTTGGTTTACCTAGCTTTCACAAGACGTAGGAAAATAGCACCAGAATAGGCAAAAATATTAAACAATTTCACAAACATCATAAGATCACTCTACATGTTTCCAGTAAAAGGAATATTAGACAGTCATTGAGCCAATTAAGACTGATCAACACTAACTCGAATTCTGATTGGTGTAAGTAAGTGATGTCATATGGCTTTGCACATTCAAAGTAATAATCATATTGGTGTACCATTCTTCGGTAGCCTATAACTATGCAACTCTTTTCAATCATTTGGATATAGTATTAATAAGGAAAGTGGTTTTGATTGGTAGATGTTGTAGTTGTTTGTAAAAAATGTTGTACACTAGTTGTTTTAGTAACTGTTAAATTCTGCGAAATGTCTCAGATATTGAATTTCCATTTGTTATTAGCAGTTTTTAGTGATTTAAATATTTAAGAAATCCCCCTTCTACCCGGAAAGAAGTCCATTTTAAATTGCAAGATGTTGTAATTGATTTAGTAATTATTAATTCTAGAAATGACTCCCGTATTAAAATTCCCTTTGCTAGCATCAGTTACTAGTGATTTAAACATTTAAGAAGTTCCCCCTTCTCCCTGCAAAGAACTCAATTCAAATCTCCTATTGTAACATCTACAAGATGAAATAGGTAGCAGAATAAAATAAAAAATGAAAAATTAACAAACATGTACAACAAATAGTAAGAACAAGCACATACTTGAATTTATTTTATTTTGGGGGAGTAATAAATGGAACATGCTAGAGGTCTGGAGAGGTGCAGCAGAGAGTACCCTGTGAAAGAGCTCTGGAACTCCTCGATGTTGAGCTCAGGCATGACGTCATCCTCGCCGTAGCAACTGCGTTGTGTAGCGGCAACATTGACTGCAACCCTCCCAGTTCCGACGGAATCCTGCATAAGCGAATAATAATATAGATATAACAAACGAATTAACAAACAATATATGTTGGGGCAAACGAAAAATACCTTGAAAAAGAGAAACGACGGAGAGGGGACGATTTAGATCTGGTTGAGGCAGAGAAACTGGGAAACGACTGTGAAGAAGAAGCTGATTGGGAATTGGGTTTAATGGCGGATCTGATAGAAGAAATTGAAGCTCTATTAATAATTCTGCTACACCTTGAAGCCATTGTAGAATGTAGAACTGTAGAAATTAGTAGGAGCCAAGCAAAGAGGAGAGTTTTGGGTAAGATCCCGGAGACAAGGTTATTAGGGTTTAGGGTTTTAGCTCCTAGTCAAATTAGTCGGATCGGACCCGCTGTTTTGTAGCCCAACCTATTCGGGTCAAAGGCACACATGTTTTTAGAAGTTAAACTTCAGTCCTTTCTTTATTGCAGAAATTTCTTGTAAATTATACACTAGGTTGAAGAAAGCAAAAAAAAATTCATTCGACTGAATAAATCCAAAAGTACAGGGAAATCAAAAGCAAAACTTTTTAGATGTCTTCAAGAAGAGAAGGTTGGAAATGAACATTAAGAAGAATCAACGTCCAACAATTAGAAGTACTCCTTCAGCTCTGCTTTATTTGGTATTTCTTTATTAGTTTGTTCCAAAAAAGAATAATAATGAAAAGTTTTTATAATCACACAAATGTTATCACATTTTTAGTGTCATAAGTTTCAAATTTTTATACCCACACAAATATTATAAAATATTTAATACCACAAATTTTAAAAGCTTTTATTTCTTTATTAAACTTTGTGTCATGTCAAACTACAACAAACAAAGTGAAATGAACGTAATGATTTAAGGGTGTTCAAACCAAATCAATTAATCGAATTAAACCGAACATCTAAACCAAGCTGGCTAAAAAGTCGAATATATTTTATTCGGTTTAGTATTAATCAAGGAACGGTGGAATCAACTTAATCGACATTCGTATAGTTAGAATATGAGAGTCAAATTATCTATTTGTTGGTAAATTTAGACATTGATGCCTTAACTTTTTTAAAATAAAAACTAAAAATTTCTAGAACTACATAAGAAACACCATATATCACACTATAATATATCTTTTAAATAAGAATCACATTCTAGAAATTACACAAGAAACACCATAGATCACAAATTTGTACAATTAAATATTTTCTTAAATGTTTGAAAAATATGTCTCTTTCAATAGTAATAGTGTGACATAAAATGGAATATGAAAGTAGTAAGAATCTATATTATAATTTGTGAATTTCAAGATAGTAAATTCATTCATAATACATCTCCTACCATAGTTTTTTGTTATATTGAGTAGAAACCATCTTATCTCCCTAAACAACTAAGCAACTAGTACTCCATTAATATTGGAAGTTCATAGCCTCACGCTCATTTTGAAATTAGATATTTTTTCCTGCTTTCCAACTAACCTAATCTTGAAATTACCATTAAAACTGTCATGTTCCCCTCTAATTTCCCACTAAATACAGAAAACTTCCATTAGGTTTCAAAGTTTCACTCCACAAGAAAGTAAAGTTGAAAAAAGAAAACCAAAACTTCCCACTGAGGTCACAAAGTAACCCATCTTTTAATTCTTCTTTGACTCTTTTATCTTCCTTCTCTATTTCAACACAAGTCAACAAGAATAATTCACAAAGAATATGAACTCTATCCCATCTTTAAAGAATGTTCTTTACTTCCTTTTTCTGTGTAAAATATCTTTACAACATCCAAAAAAAATAAAAATAAACTAAACATAAGCAATCATAAACATAAAGAAAAGATCAAAGCCACCAAGCTCAAAAAAGTGGTCCACTTTGATGACGTTCTCCAATTTGATGATGACGTGTCATGTTCCAACGATGACGTGTACTTGAAATTCGGGTTTGACCCATATAAAGCTTGGACCCCTTCCACGTCATCAAGCTTTAAATCCCTCTTCTTTGTTCTTGGGCTTAAACTTGGGTACATAACAGCATCTTTAACCGAAGAATGAGCCAGCCCAAGTACATGCCCAATCTCATGGGTCGCCACTGATTCCAAATCAACGGCAACTCTCGACCTCTCTTCATCAAAATCAACGGCCCACGTTTCTGCTGCGTCTAAATGAAACCTCCCATTTTCCGGCGAAAAAGCGTGAGCTAACACTCCCAATACTCCATCAAACGGCTCTCCGTCGCCGTGATCGCCTCTGAAAAACCCGATTTTAATATCCGCCGTGTAGTAATCCTCCGCCTCCGTGAAATTTACCGGAATCGCTGACGACCACCGCGAAAACGCTCTTTTAAAAGCCGATTTAATCTCCGATATATCTATATAATCAATCATGTAATTTTCAGAGAAAGCGTACGATAAAATCATCGGCGATGACTTCATCCACCTAGGTCTCCCGTAAAAATACGCGTAATTTCTCGTTGTATGTAAAGAGCCGTGATCATGTTCATGAGCTAAATCACTCATCCCGCAACGAGGTAACATAATTTCATTCATCGTTTCGTCGTCTAATTTTCCGGTGACTGTTAATCCGAGGTTTTGTTGGTAATTGAGTACTGCAGACTCTAAATCTTCGTCGAAAAAATCGGTGAAATTTTGATCGGGAATATTAGACAAATAGCCAAACCGTTGGAAGTATTTTTTCAGCTCCGACATGCCGGTGAGTTCACTTCCTTTTCCGGCATCGAGGAATTTAACGAAAGCGTGCCACGTGTTGTTTTGAATATCGGCGGTTAATTCAGTTAAAGGATCGTGTTTTAGGATTCTGGCGGGAAAAGAAGGAAGGGAAAGGAGGAGAATGAATAGAGCAAAAGTGTAATAATAACTTGCAAACAGAGACATGGAGTTAGTTTTTTCTGTTGGATTTACAAAGAGATTGAGAGGGATTTATTAGAAGTAAGGATATGTTAAATCATTTATATATAACATGAAAAATATTACTACTATAGTATAATTGTTTAATGGGTTGTATGTTTTTATAGTAGTATTTGTTGTAGTGTTATACGAGAACAACAAAAGAAAGAAGTTTTGTTGGTTAATAGAGATAAGATCGATGTACAAGAAAATAGTTTGAAAGAAAGCTATGAAGATTCTTTCGTGTTCGCCTTTTCTATTGAGATTCTGACTGCAGCTGGTGGTTGAACCACTGTATTTGGTAATCCTATTATTTAATTAAGTTTTTTTTAAGAAAACAAAAACAAATTAAATACATAGATCGGAAACAGAGGCGGCTCAACACAGTTCGGGGCCTAAAGCCAAACTGTAATGAGGGTCTTAAGTTCCTTTAAAAAAAAGGGCATTTGCATCTATACCCGTTTTTTGTGTCACGTTTTAACTTGTGCCCGCTTTGCAAAAAAAATTGCAAGTTTATCGGCTTTTTCGCATAACTTCAACATACGGGGCTGAAGTAGCAAAGGAATCACGCAAAACTTCAGCATTCTAGTAGCCGGGTCTGAAGTTTTTGTTTTGTAACTGTCGAACTTCAGCTCTAGAGCTGAAGTTTTTGTGTTGTAACTAGGAAACTTCAGCTCTAGAGCTGAAATTTTTGTATTGTAATTGGGAAACTTTAGCTCTAGAGCTGAAATCTGAGGTAATCACTATTGTTTTTGGTGTCTCACGGTTGATCAACTAGAAAGAAAAGAGAACTAAATAACTTCAGCTCTAGAGCTGAAGTTTTTGTTTTGTAACTGTCGAACTTTAGCTCTAGAGCTGAAGTTATTTAGTTCTCTTTTCTTTCTAGTTATTTAAATTCTATTTTCTAGCGAATTCATAAAGTTAAATTAAAGTTTCAATTTTTCTTTTTTTTTTTGAAATTTTGCACAACTGAATTCATATTTTCTAGTAGACATATTTAAACCCTAGTAAATAATGGAGTAAAAAATTACAGTATATCTATAAAGTAAAAATATAAAAAATGACAGATTTTAAATTAAAAAAATAGCCAAAGGTTAGAACAATAAAACCTAATTCAATTGATAAGTTGATCTTAAATAACTTTTTAATACTTTTGTGCTTGAAAACCTATAAAATCATTCTTGTAGAAAATCGGTCCCAAGTACAATATGTAAAAAAAATGCTTGGAAAGAAAGAAAAAATTTATCATTGAAAAAAATTTCGTCCTTACCAACTTTGTATTTTATCCCACGAAGAAGGATCAAAAGAGTCTTGTAGTTCTTTTTGACAGGAAACAGTAAGAATTATCATAATGCTTTTAAGAAGTTAACCTAGAAAAGAAGAAAGCAAGAAGGTTTCAACTTTGTATTTGTGAATAAATATGAAAAAAAAAATGAAAAAAGAAGTCAATCCCAAAAGGGCAAGAATGGTAAAAGGTAACAATTCATATCCCCAATATGCAATAACATAAAAGTAAACTTTTTTTTTCCTTTTTCACAGTAAAATTATAGCGGTTCACATTAAATACTTAAATTTTCTAAAAGGAAAATAAATACATAAACCTAAAAATACTAAAAAGTGGGGCCTTCAAATTTGTGGGGCCTAAAGCCCTTGCCTCACCTGCCTTGGGGTTTAGCCACCTCTGATCGGAAAGGAAATTCATATATTAGAGGATAATATGAAATGAATTTAATGTATGTACATGACGCTGCTTATTACAGATAATTACGTGTAACTTTTAGATGATTTGTATGTGTATAGCAGTTAATTTCTATTACAATTTTGAAATGATGATAAGATGAGTACCAGAAGATAAAGTATCTTTCCTAAGCCGAAACACTTTCGGAAATAGTCTTTATGTCTTCTTAGAGAAAGAGGTAAGGTCTGCGTACGTACTACCCACCCCAAACTTCACTTTTGTGAGATTATACTGGATCTGTTATTGTTGTTGTACTAGAAGATAAACGATGCACGAGTTGTGTATTCAGAAATAGAAGTTGAGAAGTAATTTATAATAATCTCGAAGAAATACGAGAGTTTTTCTTTTTTCTTTTTGTTAGTAGTTTCTTTGCTTCCTAAACTATACAAGTTCTAAATGAAGTTGGATTAACGAACGAAGCCAGCCACCTACAAAATCAATAATATACAAAATTCTAACCTAAATACTAGTTTGAATGAATATTCTAAGTATTAGTTGAAGATTTCCATTCATTTGTTGACCAAATTAGCTAGATGATTTTGACATAATCTTAGAGATGTCATTCTCTTAACACTTTGTTTTTCTGACTTGTATAACAAGCAAGATAAATAGAAATTGTAAAGCAGAATTAGGACATCAACCATATGTTTAATTACCTGCTCTAGGCTGCTTCTAATCTAATATGACAAAATCAAGGGGAGAAAAAGAAAAGAAAAGAATGAAACATGAGTTTGATTATTCAAATGTACCATCTTCATATGTGGTATTATTCAAAATAATATCTTTTCAACTTAAAAACTCTTTA